GTATTCATTTCCACAGTTGGCATCCAATTGGCGTCGATAGTTGCCTCGTTGTTCGAGCTATCCTGGTCCTTGGCATCATACCACCGGGCTTTACGGCAGTCAGTGGAGAACAAACGGAATATGACTTGGAGCGGAATGAGTGTTCAGCTTCTGTGGCGGTACTGCACCACGGCGGCCAGGGTGCTGTCCTTGGCGTTATTTGCTTCCGAGTATGGGTACTGGATGTTTCCAGTCTGTATCGGGCACTGGGACACCATGACTGGGCGGGTGATGCACCAACAAACCAGCTTCTGTGATTCGGAGACTGGAGAGAAGGACAAATCCCACTCGTCTCAAGTACCTAGCCTACTACATCGTCGTATTCATTGAGAACTCTTCAATGATTATCTTGTGGTACCTTCGAACAGATCCAAGCGTGTGGTACCAGAGAAAATGTTTGGTGACACCATTTCTTACACACATAAAGAAACAAAGTGACAGAAGAATGATGTCGGATTGATAACTTGTGTGTTACGTCTATCGAACATTATAGACATTAATATGAAATCATGTAAACTAATTTGGAACTTAACGGGAATGAAAATATGAGTTGAGATCTTACATAGGAAGCGAAAAGTTAATGATACCTCACAAAATAACGAGTGGAAGATAAGGTGAGAGAAGGAATTACGCTAGTATGATACACAGTATCAATGGGGACGATGATTCATGTTTCGTGTTGACTTGTTTCAACAAACAATTTCATATTACAGTGCTGGGAATAAGTTATGCTCTGTGTAGGAAGAATTTAGTCGCTTTAGTTACAGTTAATTGAACGTAAGTTACCGAAGTGAATATTAAATTGAAATTTTATGCATTGAAAATTCTGCTTCTTTCATCCATCGGTAGTGTTAGTCGTAAATGTTTATGAAATGAAAAAAAAACTCACTCACTGATGAATTATTGATTTCGGCACGAAATGTCATTATCTTTGTAAGAAATTTTAGGTAAGTCACAGAAACAGGAGATTCGCAGCTGCCGAGTTTAACGATTGCTTCTTAAGATAGCGAGAGAAAATGCAATCTTTGGATCTGTGCTTCGTATTACTTGACAGCGTGTTATTCAAATAGACATACACGATCAATTACGATACTTTCATTCAACGAAGGTGTGAATGTATGATGACTTTACGATACAGTAAAACTCGAGAGGATAATAAACGTAGCTTGCTAATCGTTTGCTCGTTTTAGTTATTTCCGGCAAACCTATACAAAGTGCTATCTCCGTAATAATTCGATAACTTAGAGAGAATACAGATAGTCAACAGCACCTACCGCCAACTCTTGTATAACTGAATACTGTGATTTGACCGACAATCTTAAGCGCACCCATGACCCCAAAATGGGGAAGTGCGTTTGTTTCAATGAACCGCAAACCTCGAACGCTTGGATTTACAGTGCGATCTCGCTAGCGGGGTAGGTAACACCCAGCCCGCTTGCATTCTGTGTAAGGTGTTTTCAACAAGTCTTTAAATATTTGTTAGCCATTGAGCCTTTCCCATGTGATCTCAAAATAGTAGGTTTTTGTCTCATGCTGTATTAGCATCCTCTGGTGGCAAAAAAGGACAACTAATCAGTAATGTAAAATTGTGTCTTTCAAAGTTACGATAATACTATTTGACTAAAACAATATTAAATAAAGAAGGTTAACAAGTTTTGCAATGTAAATATGATGAATTATTTTTTCGACTTGATTAAATCGCATCGATGTAGTATTAATAAATCCTCAAGTTATTTTACTAGCTCTTTCTCAATCTCTTGTTTTGGTGAAGGGGATCTTCAAAATATTTATACTTTGTAAGTGACTTTGTTCAGGCATTTTTAAGAACCACTAATTATTTGTCGCGGTATTTTTCAGCAAATATATCTGCTATTATGTTATCTTAGTAGCGGTTCTTATAACTATAGAAAGAAATTGTAATAGGAACCCATACTTGCTGGAAAATACCGTGACAAATAAATAGCGGTTTTTATAGCTATCTGAAGAAAATATGATAAGTTATGAAAATACAGCGGCAAATTAACAGTGGTTCTTATAACTAGATGAATAAAGTCTGCTAAACAGACATAGCAATAATACAGGAAGTCCGAAAATTACATGGATAAAATTATTTATAGGAATAAACTTACTAGTAGAATTTTCGGTCACTCTTTACGAATAACTTGCCTCAGGTAGCTTTATAGCTAGAGACTTTCACTAAAAAGGCTAAACCATAGTTGGTGAGCTTAGTTCCTTTCAAGTAATATTTTAAAACTTGGATTACAAGTACAGTACCAGTCAAGTTGAGAGTGACAGAGGTAACAAACACAATAGAGGCACAAGTTGAGGGTGACATGGCTAACAAGTACAATAGAGGCACAAGTTGAAGGTAACACATGTAACAAGTACAGTAGAGGCATGTGTTGAGGGTGACATAGATAACAAGAACAATACAGGCACAAGCTGAGAATGGCACAGATGACTATTATAACCTTGAGTCATCAATAACATCATGATATATCTCTATAGTATTAAACAAGTTCATAACTACAGCCAAATAACTGCTTTATGATACTTCTTCTTGATAACAATAAAAAATATAATTTTAGGGCTTGACGTGGCCTAGAAGTTAACGTGTCTAGCTGCGGATTGAAAGGTTCAAACGTTTACACCGCGATGCCACTAAACACACTCAGCAACTGTGGGTTTGTTGTAAGAGTGACAGCCAATCTCGTTATTCGGTTAAAAGCCATAATAGTGACGAATGCTCCTGGCCAACAGTCTCCCGACCTTTGTCAGTAGTTCAGTATTAGAGATGGGTTGCTAAGCACTAGGTATCTCTCGCTTAACCGTGTAGCGCATAAGAAGCTGTTCAGGTAGAAAATAACAAATATTATATTATATTACATTTTAATTCTTTTTTTTAAATCAAGCTAGATTCTTAAAGTCTGCAGAGCTTTATCTGGACGATTATACTCCCATTTTCTCGTACAATCAGTAAAACAAAATGGTGAAAATTGAATGCTAGTTTCTAGGTATGATTCTGGTAGTTGCTGAACCATAAAACTATAAATGGAATAAAAAAACCTAAGTTTTTTTTTCTTGAAACCGAATTATCTTCCCATTTGAAATATAAATAAAAATCATCTTCTTGTAATTCTTGGGATAGAATTGAATCAATAAACGAATGAATTCGTGCGACAAGTAGCTCTTATTTTCTCCGATTTGAACCTGGGACTCGACCGGGAAGTAAAGTCTTCTGCTGAGATATCTAATCCAATTGTTCGCTGTCTTCAATCTGTAAAACTATGATCTCTTTTTGCCGCTTGGAACATACAGGTAGCACATTATTCAGACACAAGCAAAACCGGAATTGGAAGAAAGAGGCCAGAAGGTGGTACTGGCTGGTTATTATAAATAACAGTATCACCCACATAAGGGCTTCTAATCAGCTGTTACAAGTCTAGACAGGAGATAAATAGACGTATAAATAGTTAGACAAAGCGATAGATAAAATATATGCTCTCTGTATACATTATACATATATATATGGAGTTTGGAAAATTAATAATCATAGCTATTTAAAATATAAAAATTCTATTGGCTGATGCAAAGAAGTTTTAAACAGAAGGATAAAACTAACGCTTAAGAGGTGAACATATGATATTATACTATTCATAAGATGTCGATCTACTGAGTATTATGCACGAGCTGTGGATATAGTACCTACTTATAGGTAGGTGTATCTGAAGGCCGTTGTTGACCAAAAAGTGCGCTGTTCACGTTTACCGTATTTAAACAAATGAGAAAAGTTTGTAAAACCTTATGTTTACAAAAGTACTTTCACACAGACAGAAAAATAGTAGAGTCGTGATCCTTGATATATATTGATACGAACTTGATGCTGCAAGAATCATTTTACTATTTAATCTGTAGATGATTTGGTGGTAAATTTAATCTGTAACTGTCCTGCACGAACTTGATGTTGCAAGAATCATTTTACTATTTAATCTGTAGATGGTTCGGTGGTAAATTTAATCTGTAACTGTCCTGCACACTTCGCAGAAGACTCAATCTCATAAACTATGGTGTGTCACAAAGTTAAAGATGAATAGAAACTGAAGTAACTTACTTATGAATTTTATTAATATTTAACTCATTTATAAGCAAAAACTACGTAGAAACAGTCAGTTTGGGATTCTCATTTCTAAAACAAGCACGATTAAGTTAACAATAGAATGAAATCTTATTGAGTTTTTAAAAAGTAATCTACATTAGTATAAAATCGAATACGTCACAGGTTCTCACAGTTTAAGATTTTTTCTGAAGTTTAAGACAATGGGTCGGATCTTGAAGAAACAGGACCAAGAAAGCTGTGAAAAAAATAAAAGCATTCGTGTCGATCACAATAAGAGAAAACAAGTATGTGGTTTTTGAGAAAGTAGAAATAACAGTATCAGTGGCGACAAGTTAACCTGATTTGTAGTATTTGAGTAACTAGAGCCAATCAACTTAATGTGACGGCCATAAAGGATGGGAAGGCTGTGCAGTGCACAGGTACCCATCAGCTCAAGGGGGCCAACCAAGCCCTAATATAAAAAAGTTCTAGTATTCTACCGTATATAATAATACTATATTTGTGTCGGGAAGGGGCCAAAGGGGGCCCAAATTTATCCGGCATAAGGACCCACAACTAAGTATGGCCAATTTTACAGATTGTGACAAAATAACACTATTAATATAAATCTTGGCAGGGTAACAAGAATTTTACTTGTGGAAACACAAAACCAACAATATAAAACAAGCCAATGTATCCAATTAAAAAGGATATGAGACAAACGAACCAAATATATTAATATATAAATATTTATATCAGTAGGTTCGTGGAAAATAGGTCCAGAAATATATGCTGCAATAAAACGGTCTGTGGGGAGTATAATCAACAATGTACGTCTTGGCGAAGTTTACATTCCATGATATTGCAATCTGACAACTGATCCAATTTTTGTAGTTGGTAATAAGATGGAATGAGTCACATGAATCGTAATATTTTAGTTAGTTGTGGGATTACAAGTTTGGTGGCTGAGAGGATAGAACCAACAATATACGTTTTGAAGGTGTGACCAAATTAGTAGAGCGTGAGAAAATAGCTGCAACAATATAAGTTGTGAAGGTGTGACTAAATTAATAGTGTGTGGGACAATAGCTCCAATAATATAATTTTGAAATTGTAACCAAATTAATAGAGTGTGAGATAATAGTTCTAACAATATAAGTTGATGCAACCAACCAAATTAGTAGTGTATAAGATGATAGTTCCAACAATCTAAGTTATGAAGGTATGCTCTAACAATATAAGTTGAAGCAACCAATCAAATTAGTAGTGTGTAAAATAATAGAACCAACAGTATAAGTTGAGACAGCCAACCAAATTATTAGTGCGTGAGATAACAGCTTCAACAATATCAATTGTGAAAGTGTGACCAAATTAGTAGAGCGTGAGATAATAGCTCCAACAATATAAATTGTTGTGAACTTGGCCAACTAAGTAGTGCTTTGGATAATAGATCCAACAGTATAAGTTGTGAAGGTGTGACCAAATTAGCAATTCTTGGGATAATAGCTCCAACAATGTAAATTGTGAAGGTGTGACCAAATTAGTAGTGCGTGAGATAATAGCTCCAACGATATAATTTTGAAGGTGTGACCAAATTAGTAGTGCGTGAGATAATAGCTCCAACTTTATAATTTTGAAGGTGTGATCAAATTATTACTGCGTGAGATAATAGCTCCGATAATATAAGTTGAGGCAGCCAACCAAATTAGTAGAGCGTGAGATAATAGCTCCAACAATACAATATTATTAACAAATTTTAATTTAAGAACGGGAATAAGGATCGTAAAAAATACAGAAACAAGATAAGTAAACAAAAGTAAACAAACGAGCTTGGCCTGGCATGGCCAGGTGGTTAGGGCGCTCGACTCGCAATCAGAGGGTCG